TGAAGCGACACTTTGAATTTATCTCTAAAACCGAAATGTATTCAATAATCATAAATAACAGTTCTATAAGCGACGGTTACCAATTTCATCAGGACGTTACCTTATGTTTGACCTCTATTCAATGCAATATGATTTCATTCCAATTCAATTACGTTAAACTTTAGCCAATAAAAATCGATTGTGCTACTTCACATCAAAATTATAACAATATAACCTATAAGATTATACTTACTTCCTTTTCTATCAATACCTCCTAATTACTTCACAAAAGCAATGACTTTGACCCAATAATAATATAATAGAACAAAATCAATGCTCTGATCCAATAGTTTTTCGGAGCGCTCTCTAGGTCTATTGAAAAATCACTTCTGGTATAATTTATCATTCAAATGTAAAAATCAATTTAAACGCGCACATTAACAATGATGTGAATGACATTAAATACATCTCGCATGACAGACCAATGTCGTGGAAACGGAACACGTCAGCTGATTTCTCGTAAACAATGAGTTCATAGGTGAGGATTGTTCTTTAAGAGGTAGATTAGATGTTGTTTTACCTTTCATTGAAGTGTCTTAGATTAAAAATATATATATCAGTAACGCAAAAGAGATAAAAATATAACAACATGTATATAAAAGTGAGATAGACATACAGAGAAGTAGTTGTACACAATATAAGCTCGAAAAAGATTTAGCGGGAGTAAGAACAAAATAAATTCTAATTATTTCTACGTTTTGAAGTGTTGTTTTAAGTAAATATAGTTGATTAGACTTAAGTGTACCAGGATATAATGTAAGACAAAAATTTACACATTTTTATATTATAATACGCTTATAGCTACTTCCTTATTACATACTTTTATTATACGAATTGTCATTTTATTTATCAACACTAATGTTTCAGAATTTTCTACGCTCATATGGCTGCCATAGAGTTAGAAACATTCAAAACTGAGGAAAGTCAAGGCAAGAAAGTTACATTTTGAAGGCATTCTTTCATTCACTAAATACAGAGTATAAGTGTCATTTCTACCAATCTATCTATAATATGACAAATGTAAATAGGCCTACCAGAGGTCTACCAAAGGGAAACTTTGTACAAAAGTCGATTGCTTGGGTACCTCTGTCCCATTCGTGTTTCAACCGTGAAGCAGCTGTGTTTGCATGACTATGTTTGTTTGGTTTGGTTACGGTTTGAAGGGTGGGATATGGCGTGAATTTACTGAGTACAGAGGAATAACATCTGAGTTCTCAGGAATGGCAACGCACGGGGGTATCATGAGCGAAACGGTATACTCTGTTATGTCCACGGTACTGTTCACGTCTATAGGCGACGGTTACCACATTCCATCAGGTGGACCGTCAGCTTGTTTGCCATTCTAAGTTGTAAAAAATAACATTCTGCACCTTAAACGAAAATACATGAAAACAAAACTATGATAGAAACAAACGTAACAATTGATTAATTATAACATACGATAATTAGCGCCGAATGTGTACCTTGAACTTTGTCAGATCTTGATACGAAATAATAAGCTATAGTTAAATAATGTCCGCTACAATTTCCTTATTGAATGTATCAATATTGTGATTATATATTACAGTCGAGATTACAATGTAAAATATCTTATCATACATGAAAGATTTAATTGAAATAGAATTGATATAAACTGCCTTCACTCATTTCCGTTGCAATTCACTTCATTATAATCCATTAAGCCATTTATAGTAATCCATTATTAATTCATATGTTATATTCGTAAGATAAAGATCAGAGGGCCTACCATGAAATGTTTTCCGAAATTTCGGAGCCAAACGAAACACAAATTTGATTTTAAAATTACATAATACATGCCGTTTGGAAATATCAAAAATGTTAAAATATTGTTCCTTTGGACTTTTATGATAGGATGTATGACGAACGAAATGTTAAACTCCATTTATTGGTCCGATTTTGGTATAAACAAAAACACGAAATAGAGTCCGAAATTTCGGAATTTCAATTCATGGTAGACCCGCAGGTTTTACATTTTATATATACTTACATTTGCACTAACTTCTGCCCGCCACATTTTGAGTCGGATTTTGAATATTTTACCGCATTTAGAATGAAATTTTCAATTTTTCCTTTCTAATTGTTCATCTACTCTGTATACCTACCTGTATGGACCTATAAGTAAAATTTCAAGATTCTAGATTCAGCGGTTTCTACAATTCAAAAAAGAATTTCCCAAATCGGTTTGTGATTTTTTTTTATACAACTTAGAATGGCAAACAAGCTGACGGTCCACCTGATGGAAAAAACATAAACCGTCACCATATAGACATGAGATGAACTACTATGGACATAACAGAGTATACTGTTTCACCCATGATACTCCTTATGTGTTGCCATTCCTGAGGACTCAGTTATGAGGTAGCAACTATAAAAATACAATCGAATTGAGAACCTCCCTCTTTCTGAAGTCGGTTGAAAAAAGAACTTTAATAGAAGTCAATTTATAATCATCAAGAGCACCTTATTTCCAATCTATCACAAACAAATTACGTTTACCACTTAAACAATGTATTGAGGGAACAAAGGCACGATAGATCGTACTGAACGAAACTAATTACTGCCATACAAAAACAAAATTAACTTATTAAATCTATGTGTTTTCTAATTAAGATGTCTCTAATCAGTCCGCCTGTTGAGTGATCGGCTCGATGTCACTGACCCGCCTTCTGGGCGATACCTAATCATGTTGGTCATCATTTTACCGACTTCCCAAAGTAGGGTAATGTTTTTCAATAATATGTGTAAATATAATTTAAATAAATATTTTAAATTCAATATATAAGAGTTAATTAAGTGTATAAGGCACTGCTATATATAAATGTCCCATAATTTTACTATAAATACCTATTAACACCGATAATCGTTCGCAGATTTCAAGTTCGATTTAATTATAGATCAATTGATTATACAATATGACTCGATTTGTCGAAACTCGTGCAAACTCTTATTAAATACTAGCAATTCACACCGGCTTCGCGCGTTTGCACATTACATCACATCACATTAGAAACCTCTAAAATTATCAGTGTTTCTCTAATATATTATGCATGTATTATATATATAAACCTTCCTCTTGAATCACTATCTATTATAAAAAAAACCGCATTAAAATCCTTTGCGTAGTTTTTAAGGTCTAAGCACACATAGAGACAGACAAACGGGAAGCGACTTTGTTTTATACTATGTAGTGAAGTAGATTGATTTAATCAGTGATCAATGGATTATTAAAGAGTACCTAAAGACTTAATTATTTTATTTTTATTCCAACTTAGAATGGCAAATAAGCAGATGGCCTACCTGATGGAAAAAGGTAACCGTCGCCTATAGACATGGACAGCAGAATATACTGTGTCGCCCATGATACCTTTCATGCGTTGCTGTTCCTGAGAACCAAAATTTTTTTCTTATACAACTTAGAATGGCAAACAAGCTGACGGCCCACCTGATGGTAAATGGTAACCGTCGCCTATAGAAATGAACAGTACCATGGACATAACAGAGTATACTGTTTCGCCCATGATACCCCCATGCGTTGCCATTTCTGAGAACTCAAACATTATTCCTCTGTACCTGTAAATTCATTACCATATCCTACCCTTCAAACCAAAATACAGTCATGCAAACACAACTGCTTCACAGCAGGCACATAAATGGGACAAAAGTACCCAAACAGATGAGTATTTTACAAAGTCCTTCAGTTTCCTCCTTCTAGTAATAGATTCAGTTTACTGTTATTAAATTTTAACTAGGCAATACTGAAGAATAATTGATCAATAGAAATAAAAGAATAGACTTAGAAAACACAAATACACAAAATAAAACGTATCGCTACCTACGCCATCTATCTTTACAGCGACATATTACTACTACAATTTCATAAGCAAATGAAGGCAACGAAGTAAAAGTAACAGTAAAGTATGTTGAAGGAATGTTTCCAATCCGCGCCGCTCATTCTACGTGGCGCTCGGTAGCACCGTAATGCTCGTGCAGAAGTTAATGCAACATTTTTAAAAAAATACTAAATGGAGGAATTTCTCAAATCGTTTGTATTTTATTTTCAAATTCAAAAAGAGGAAGTTATTTGAAAACATCATATAATAGAAATCATCTATATTTTATATACGTTTTTTGTAATTAAGGGTAAAATTAGGCACTAAATAAATATTTCTTTCTATCAAAACTGTATGATAAAAGCTGGTCCTTCTATTGAAATTCAGTCTCGAATCATCCAAACTCAAGACAGTTCACCATCAGTATGTATTATTTAAAAGTTAATATAAATTATATATAACACATATTTCCTGTCCCAAATTTTTTTTAAGCAATATCATTTAGTTCACCCAAAACCCACGCAATTTCAAACCAATGTAGCGCTGTTATCGCTTTGAAGAGTACCATTTGACGTTTTTCGTTTGAGATTGCAATTAGACATTTGAATTGTGATTCAAAAGTAAGCCTACAGTTCTTCTGAATGGAGGTATTAGCGGAGTTATGGATCTACGACGTAATCTAGAAGGGAATACAATATAATAACATACAAGTATGTTTTATCTCGATATGCTATCTAGAAGTGGTGTTTTATAGGCTTTCTTTCTTCTGAAATCCACGCATACAAAGTAGCGGGCCAAAAGCTAGTGAATAATAATATTAAAATCCAATAGTCTGATAATATACAATAATGTTGTCTCTGGGGGGAAAGGGATTGTTAGTAATGGAGACTGAGAATCCCATTGCAAGCAATATACCCAACCAGGTCGACCTCCTCGCGATTCTCCCTGGAAACTATCATTAATTCCTGATAAATTCATCATGATGGGCTAACTGGCCTGTTTTCATTCTCATCTATCACCCTTCACTGGTGCTCCGTCAGCGTATCCCGTTAGCGCAGGCGAGGTTACCATACCATTTTCACCCATCCAAAAAAAAATGTTGTCTCTTACCTTCTCTCTCTTTTCTTCCTCTTAGTCGTACTAGTTCCTTTAATGGTTCTATACAAGGTCATCATCTTGCTGCTTCGCACAATCACTTAGATTACACGGCACAAAAATTATTAATTAATAATAAACTATATCAGATTTTAAATAACTCACAGCTATTCACTCAGACTCATTATACTCACTTATATTTATGGACATTACTTATTTATTTAACACAAATCACTAGTCGCTCGCATATTAGTTGAACTGAAACAAAAAAAAAAAACAACATATAAACAAATATAAACAATATATAAAAGAAATAAAATAAATAAAAGAATACCGCATGGTATTAAGTTCGCCTCGTATAAAGTTTTATTGTGCAATAAAGAATAAATAAATATAGTATTTTTTTATTGTTAGGGAGGCAAGCGAACAGTATGGACTCGGCTTAGAATGAGCCACTCTTTTTTTCCCATGCGTGCCGTAAGAGTCGATTAAGAGAATTTAATGATCGAGAAATGGACAGCAGTGTCGCTCTTAAACGTAACGCTCTTAAGGAATGGATTTCGTTAATTAACATACTGTATAAATATACAAATACTTCAAATAAAATACAAAGACAACGTAAATCAAATTTATTTTATTTCATTTTTTTTTTATTTTGAAGTCATAATCCTATATTTTTGCAACGCTGTCTGTTCTTATATTTTTATACAACAAATATAGTTTACAGACGTGGCTGGCTTGATTCTAAATCGATTTTGATATTTCTTTTTAAAATAGCGTTAGTCCATATTCATTTTGTTAAAATTGGTGCAGATTTATGAAAATATTGCGTATCGTACACCTAGAGAGAAAAAAAAAACAAACCAATTTAAGAGTTTCGACTTTTTGAAATTGCTTAAAACGGTAAATTGCAATTCATGTTCTAATAAATCACACTGACTTCCTATAGGAAATATAGATAAATAAAAAATGAATTAATTAAATAAAATATTAAATAAAGAAAACAAACCAATCAGATAGGTTTGTGTATAATTAATAACTCTAAATCAATGATTTAAACAATTCTGCTGATAAATTATAATAAATTATCATAAAAAACCCAATATCCAATCGACATTAGTTATTAATTGATAATACATAATTTATTTTATACAAACAACTTTAATTTCAATAGAAATTTTACATATAATTTACTTATGTATTTTACTGTACTAGGTGTTATCTTGCAGAAGTCTATATCACTGGTTATTTGTTTAAAACTATTTTGTTTAATCCACCATTAGCATGTATGTGATGATGTCGAGGCTGTTTCGACGCTGAAGAAACGGCTGCTCACGTAATCCTGGAATGTGAGGCTGTGGCCCATTAACGTTTAGAAATCCTCGGAACGGTGAGGTCGCTCCGTGAGGCCTGTGAAGAACCCAGGAAGCTTCTGCGCTTCTGGGCGGAGCTAGGTTGGCTGTACTAGCCACGACTCATACGCACAACGGCCCAAATGAGAGGCTAAGCGCGGAAAATAGAGTCTTTTTCATTCAGCATGTACCTATGTGACTGCCAAAGATTGACCACCACTTTTACTATCAGAAGTTCCACAATCAAATTAATCACACTTTCACAAATTCGAGCACACACATACTAATGGTAGTGGAATTAAAAAAAAATTGTAATTAAATAACCAGTTACTTATGTGGCGTCGATATATGTTTTATTTTATGGGTGATAATAGAGTAGTAACTCTGCTTACACTATGATAGATAATAATGAAGTCACAACAGTTGGCCCATTATATGGAGTTGACCAAAAAAAATCACGTTGGTTTGCAGGAAGATCTGGATAAAGGTCGACCTAATAGAGTACAGCTAAAAGCTAAAATATAATTAATTAGGAGGTCAGAGGACTCGTAAAATGAAGTAGAAAACAGTTAATCTATGGTTAATGGAGTATTTCCGAACCGATACGACAACATAACCTTCAAGAAAAGAGTATATTCCTTTTTAAAAGGCCGGCAGCACACCTGCAATGCCGCTGGTATTGTGGGTGATCATGGGCGGCGTTAGTCACTTACCATCAGGTGAGCCGCATGCTCATTTGCCCCCTGTGTTGTAAAAAAAAAAGAATTTACATATTTGCCGCCTGTAGGTTATTTAAATTTTGCCGCCTCTATCGCCCTCTACAATTCAGTAACAGTTGACAATCATATTTATTACACTTTTTGTCAAATAAACCGTAACTTTTGGCTTGAAATTTACCACTCTAGGTGCCAGTCTTCAGCCTATACAGCCTACTAGTGAAACCGCCACTGCCCATGTTAGTAGCTACGAAGTTAGTAAAAGTTGATAATTTTATAAAAAGTAGCCAGTTATTAAACATAATAGCAGTTTACACTTGAGGACATGTTTATCGGTCGTGCATGAAACCAATTTCACATTTCCCCTATCAAGCGTCAATAATTGCTAGAAATCCATATCACAATTAGAATCGACTCTTATGAAACTGCTAAGGCATCGATCAACGTCGAGCAACGTTGAAATTTTAAGGAAACTCGTAAATTTGTTTAATTAGAACGAAATTATGATAGCGTACAAACATAAATTTGAGTTTGGAAAAGATTTGATAAATAGTTTTAATATTTTATCTAGATTTAGAAAAAATCGTAGACAGGCCAAATGTATATAATACTGAATATTATTTTCAATTTCCAAGTGTCACCGTAGCTATTAAATAACTTATTTATATATATCTGTAAGTAACTACCTAATATTTGTACACTTTTTTTCATAAATATATAAAAAATAAAAATATCATTATTAATTCGACTATATTATATTAATTTAGATTTTATTACTTATCTCTAATTATATATCTAGCTTACTTATACATCAAAGTAATTAACATGTATCACCATTTAAGAGTAAACCCACTGGTCCCTAATAAAAAAAAAATAGATTTTCTTAATATATATTCATCAACATCATCATCATCATCATTATTTTAGCCATTAACTGCCCACTATTGAATACAGGCCTCTCAAGAAGTGGCCTATGCCAAAACCATATAGCAACTTAACTTACAGGTTAAAAATTCCATTCCATTCCAAGCCATTCACAATAACACCTGAGTCCTTCGGAATGGCAACGCATGGCAGGTATCATGGGCAAAACAGTATACTCGGTTATGTCCATGGCACTGCTCATGTCTATAGGCGACGGTTACCACTTTCCATCAGGTGGGCCTTTAGCTTGTTTGTCATTCTACGTTGTATAAAAAAAAAACTTTAACAGTGGACTATTACAGATAAATATTATAATAGTATTCTAGTAGTGTTAATATCAGTTTGTGTACCTTATAACCAAATATAATTAACAAATTAAAAGTTCTTTGATCTAAGCAGGTATATTGAATCCGTTATTAAATTTGCAATTATATCGTCGATTAGGGAAGTGAAACGTAGCGACCAGTGCTATTAATTTGCTTAACATTTTACATCACTAGCGGCATTCCCAATTTAAATTTTTACATGCAATAATAAGAGATTACGAAATTGTGCAAAAATGAACTTTATTATTTATACATTTAGGAAATCGGAATTAGTCAAATTATAATTTACGATGCACAAAAGGTCAATCACAAATTTCTGTTAAAAATATTCTATTTTTAAAAAGAAAGTGTTCTATGCTAATAAAATCATTACCATAATTTTATAATGTGTTATTATAGCTCATTAAATTTTTTACGATCGCCTGATTAGGTACTATACAAAGATATAGAAAGATATAGAGGGTTGTACTATAGAAAAGTATTATTATTTTATCTATGGTTGTATCATTGTAATTACTTTATATTCGTAATATCTGGATACAACGTCTCTACAAACGTTGACCAAAAAGCTAATTTTTTTTCAATTCATTAACAAATATTTTCTAAACTGTCCAGACATTACATGCATAATTAGTATCGGGCATTTTGAAATTATTCGAACATTAGATGGTTAATCATTGGCGTATTTAAATGCGAAATTTTAAATTTGCGAGATTGTTTGTCATTCTAAGTTGTGTTAAAAAAAATTCTTTACATAAATACATTGTATGATAAAACACCCAAATTGATACAAACAGTCACACTCATGAAATAAACGTTTATGTTGTGCAGGAATCGAACCCACGACCATCGGAAAATAAGGTGATATGCTAAAGCATTATACCACCAAACTCGTCCAATATAAAGTCATCGAAAATAATGTGACTATAATATTATATATATTATTTTATTATTATTATTATATAATCCGTTACCTGCCCTCTGCTGAACATAGGACTACCTCATAAGGAAGGTTTAGCCAATAGTTGTCACGCTTGGCAGGCGGGTTGGCAACAACAGTTAGACTATGGTAATGTTTAAAAAGGAACGCTGGTGCCCATCCCTCGATCATTAAGTTCCCTTAACCGCCTCTAACGACAACCTTGGGAAAGAAAACAGTGGCTCATTATATACCGTAACCACACAACAAAGTAGTATGTATAGATTAAAAAGTAAAGTTAGCCATTTTAGCTACAAAAACTATAAAACCGGTTACTGATCGACCCACTGGCCGAATACCAATACTGTACCTCATTTGATTAATAAGGTGCAAGGGAAAGTAGCATTTACTGTTTTAAAGTCATTATTAAGATCAATGTGCTTTTATGGGAGTTGATGATTAAATTAATAACCCTGTTCTTAGTTTATTTTATATGTTTTACATTATATATTACGTACTCGTACGTCTTACATCATTTTTTTTATACAACTTAGAATGGCAATCAAGGTGACGGCTTACCTGATGGAAAATGGTAACCGTCGCCTATAGACATGAGCAGTACCATGGACATAACAGTGTATACTGTTTCACCCATGATATCCCCCATGCGTTGCCATTCCTGAGGACTGAGGTGTTATTCCTCTCTACCCTGTAAATTCATTGCCATATCCTCTTCAAACCGAAACACAGCCATGCAAACACAACTGCTTCACGGTTGAAACACAAATGGTACAGGGGTGCTCAAGCAAACGACTTTTGCACAAAGTCTCCTTCTGGTTCATCATCATATTATGGGGGAAGGGATTGTTACTAATATAAATTACTATTATTTTATCAACTAAGTGTGCTTTACAGTTTCCCAATACGCTGACCCAAAAAAGCATCGGTACAGTAACACATGTATAATTAAATGGAATTATAGTAATTAGATTTATTATTACAACATAATAATAGAGGGGGG